TGTCGCTCTAGGAGGGGACGGGGCTTGGTCACACAGTGCCTCACACAATCTCCGGGTTCATCCAGAACCAGCCTCCCTCACACCCAGGAGGGACAGGAGCCCTTAATGCCTGATAAAGACCACACACACCCCCTTACACACACCCTTACACACACACCCTTACACACAGACACTCACACACTGATTTAGGCACTTGTGCTGATGTTTCTAAGTTTCTGGATCTCTTTAGTCTGTCAGTACCTTTGACAAATCCTTCTGGCACTGTGAAGGAAAGTGGCTTGTTTTGGTTGCCACAGAAACCGGAATGTCACTGATGTTTGCATTCTACAGGAAGCAGGAAGTCCTAAGGCAGACTTAAAGGCCCAGAGCTGATCTCTTCCTCATCAGATCCACTCTGCCCATTCCAGTCTGAGAAGGAGGGAAGGAGGCCAGGAAGGAAGGACGGAAAGGAGGGATAGTGGGAGGAAAGAAGGGAGGAAGGAAGGGAGGAAGAAAGGGAGGGATAGTGGGAGGAAAGAAGGGAGGAAGGAAGGTAGGAGGCCAGTAAGGACGCAAGGGAGAGTAGCAGAAAGGAAGGAAGGACGGAGCGAGGAAGGACAGAAGGCTGGAAGGAGGGCAGGAAGGGACGGACTGGAGCATCAGTCCAATCCTCTCTGGAAGGAGAATTCCGGGAGGGGAGTTCCCCAAGCTAGGTGCCTGGGGAGCAACGTAAAAGGTGGCACACTTGGTTCTCCCCTATGCGGAGCTCTTCAGCCTCCCGAATACCTGGGGAGAAGGACGGGGAATCAAGGAAACCACATTCAGGGTGCCGTGGGGACCGGGAGGAAACTGTCTCGTGTATGAGCTCTGATGAACTCCACAGTGGGCCTGCTCTGATTCATCGGAAAGGAGCTCAGGGGAGCGGGTAGTGTGCTGTCCCCGGACAGCGACTGTAGTAAGCTTAGGACACCAGATAGGGACCGAGTTTAGCACCTCCAAGGGGCACAAGTCCAGGTCCTTCCCCAGGCCAGGAGGGCTGCGTTATATATCGCCCTCAGCAGATGCTGTCTCTCAGGAGCGCCTTCTGTGGCTTCCACACAGCCCGGAAGTCGTGCTTGTCTGTTCCCCAGGCAAGTTAGCACCGGGCTGGGCACTGCGGGGCTGTGGCCCGGGCCCCTCCAAGCTATGTGCCGACAGACAGTCAGCACACAGTGGTGGCTGTGAGGAGAGTGGATCCCAGGAGGTGTCCGTGACCCAGCACAGCAGGGAGGGAGCGTGTGGTACTGCAGAAACCACGGCCCTACACGACTGGGTCCCAGGAAGGGCTGCTGTGGCCGGGCACAGGGCACACACTTCCTCCTCTCTTCCCTGGCAAGTCGTCCCCAGCCTCTACTGGGCAGTGAACCATTCTCTTGCAAAGGTGTATATGGGAAAAATTGGCCCAGGAAATGATTCCCGGGGGTCACAGGGGTGAGAGATGTAGTGGGTGTTTCTTTATGAAGGAGGAAGAGGGTTAGAGGCAGAGGAAGAGGCAGCAGTTGAACTAGGACTTGGAGGGCAGGCTGCCACCGCAGGCACAGGACCTGGGAAGAGCGTTTCCTTTGACAGGACCCTGGGTGGAGAGAGCCAAGAGGCGTGGAGCCCTGTGCGTAGGGGGGGACACAGGCGCGAAGTGCCCGGAGATGTGTGCGCTTCACCTGTGCCTCGGCCAAGCAGCAGAATCTCCCAGCACACTGGGTCTCAGACTGGAGGAGAAGGCCTCTGTCTATTAAGTGCTACCTGCCTTCGGCTTCCTAGAGTGGTAGCAGGTGCTGCACGGCCAGGGTACTTAGAGGTGGAGGCTCTCAGCGTGTAGAAATATCACCACCGGCACAGATGGCACAGCTGATGGCGTCACCCTCCTCCTTGGAAAGCAAGCTGGCACCCCTGTGCGGTAAGTGGCCTGTCTCTTTACGGATCAGTTTACCCCACGGGGCTCGGACCGGGGAGCGCCATCCACTCCTGTCATGGCGAGGCCCCAGAGCGGTAAGAACGCCAGCCTGGCCTGGCAAGTCTTCGCCTGCCACAAGCTGCAGAGATGCCACAGACGGCCCCTGCCGAGTCCCGAGGGAGAGCAAGCACCATGCGTGCGGAGATAGGTTACCTGAGTCTGGCGTGGAGCAGACGGCCAAATGCCTATGGGTCTCTCTCGCACAGATGCCACTCGATGTTTACTTCGCTGTGCGGCTGCACCCTGCGCTGCGGTGGAAATGCTTGGCATCTCCTGTGCGATATTTACCATGGGCGACTGTGGGGTGCTTTGTCCCTCTTGGGTTGATCAGGGAACCGGATGGAGCTTCACTGCCAGGGGCTGGAAGGAGCTATAGGAGCAGTAGCAGGAGGCACAGTAAACCACGGGGCCTTGATCGCACGCAGGTGCCCAGCTGGACAAGGAAGCTGTGGGAAGCCAAGGCAGTGGCTTCCACTGGAAAGATGAAGGGAGCGCAGATGTGAGCTACGTAGGTAAGGGGAATGGTTTTGTAACCGAGCTTCCATTCAGCAGGCGAATGCTCCTCGGAAGAGTACTCACTGTGTAACCAGACACGCCCAACATCCGATGGTCTCACCGCACAGTGGACACGCAAACCTGTCATGACGTCGGGTGTGTGCTGCGGCCCCCTCTGCCCATCTCCGTCCCGTCTACAGACGTCTCCCCTGCTCCACACCCAGGAGCACAGTGGCTTCCCCGTTGGGTGGCCTGAGGCTCCCGATCTAGTGCGGGTCCTCCCTTCCCAGCCGTCACCACGCATCCCCGGGCTCATTCCCGGGCCCGGTGCCTGTCATGCCGCGAACACGGGCTCAGGTCCTTCCTGAGCGCATCCCGAGCGGGCCCGGTGCCACTGACACAGTGGAGCACAGTCCCCAGGCTCAGGGTAGAGTCTGAAAGCGTGGAAGGCGGCCCATTCGCTGAGTCGTGTGCTCAGCACCTCCATGTGCCTCTGCAGTCGGTTGTCCTTCAGATCGGCAGAACGCAATTCATCTCTGTTCTCTGACGCCACCCCCTCTGCCAGCCCCTCGTCTGCTGCCCAGAGGGCACCGTGAAGGAGCGAAGTGGAAGTTGGCCAGCGGCAGGAGCCCGTTTGGGGGCAGCCTGCTTCGCGGATGGCTTCCGTGTGTATCAAAGGGAAAGCGTTGCATTCGGCTCTGGGGCATCCGTCTATATGGTGCCCGAAGGCACATTTCCGGCTCGCCTTCGTTTTTACTGAAGTGTAACAATCCCCACAAAAGTGCACAGCACAGCTTGGTGAATTTCCACCCAGATACTCATGTAAGCAGCCACCAACTAGGTGGCACTTTTCGTTTCGCAAAATAGCAGAACAGGGTTTTGTTGGGCCCATGGTTTATCGGCACGACTGTGCAGCCCCTAAGGACGCCTCCGTGCTGTGGAGTTGGTTCAGGTCCATAACACACCTTAGTGCCCTTTTCATCCTCTTCCTCCCTGTGCTTCCTCCCGCCGTCCCTCTCCACCTCCTCGTCCTCTTCCCTTTGCAAAACTCCGACCTCCTTGTTTCCCTTTGATTGTCTTTGATCTTGCTCCTTAATTTATGTTCCGTTTCTCCTATGAGAGACCCTGCACTGTTTAGGCTTCTGTGCCTGGTTTACTCCACTTCGTCTTCTGATCTCCATTCGTATACATTTTCCTACGCGTGAATCACTGGTCTTGCCTTTATTTTGCTCTCTGATTATTTACACTTTGGTTCTTTCTTGTGTGGCAACCAGAAGGCGTTGAAGCTTGTGAGTCTCATTAACTTACTGAGCATTGCTTTCCCAAGGTGCATACATTTTCCCAACAGTGGCTGAGGCGCATCCTTCTTTACAGCTGAGTAGTATTTCCTTTTGTGGACATTGCACATTGCTTCTTCCAGTCCTGTGTCGATGGACATAGGGCATAGATATGTTCCCCAGTTTTACATTTTGAAAGCTTGATCTCGAAAATAGTGGTGGTGCAAGGTTTGGCCTAAGGACAGCTGATCGGTTCATAAGGACAAACTGTCAGGACAGGCAGACATCTCAAGACAAGCAAGCCACCTCTGAAAAGGAAGAAGTCTTTCTTCCACCTCATCTTCTGTTTTATTCTTTCAGAAATCCTATTCGTGTTCTTTTCTTTGTCATTGCAACTTTATACTTTTGCATTTCATGTGAGCATTCCTCAATGCTAACTTTAAGAACTCTAGTCAACTGTCAGTGGCCCTTCTCTTATTTCATATTTTGGCCTTAAAATTAGCTTTTAAGTTTTAAAATTTTCCATTATTTACTTTTCAAGTCAGCCTCTAGTATTCCCCAGGTTATGATTAGACTCATCACTAATTAATGTTCATTATCACAGCATTGGGTAAACCTCTTGATCCCCTTCCTCTCTGTGCACTACACACATTTTAGTAAACTATGAAAAGTGAGTCCAATGTATAAGATGCATTAATCACATTGTGTCCCCTATTACTCATCTGTGATACCCTTCTAAAAGCATGTGACATTAGAGGGGAAGTTGGAGAGATGAGGGTGATGGGGAAATGATTACTCCATGTTACCTGCATGTGCAAATTTATCAAATTAAAGACTGTTCATCTGTATAACTAATATGCACTAATAAGGAAAATGTGGCAGACGGACGAGAAAAAAGTGAGTCCACACCTCATGCTTGTCTTTACATTTGCTCACTTGCTTTTTCGCTTGTCCACAGTGGGATGATCCAGCCAGAATGCCCTCACTAGAAGCTGGCACCATGTCCTTGAACCTTCTAGGCTCCAAAATAAAAGAAGTCTCTGTCCTTTAAGAATTAGCTAGTGTTTGGTATTTTGTTCTGACAGCACAAAATGACTTAAGACCCTGGAGAAGGCCTTCAGCTTCTCAGTTTTCAGCTGTCAGGTTAAAAAGGGTGCTGAATGTACATGGCAGTTTAATTTTCTGTCCGGGTGCTTCATTCAATATCTTAGTTACTCTGCTCTACCCTTTTTTGTCTTTCACTTCTAATGTCAAGAGTGGTTTCTACCAACCAAGTGGAGCAGAGGCAGAAATACATTGAATGAGTTGGGCTATAACTTCATACAATCTCTTGATTTCTCAAAGGAGAAAACAGAAGCAAAATGAAGACAACTTCTTCCCATTCAGGGATGTGCAGAGGAGAGTCACGGGTGGCAAGAGAGAGTGCACATCCCCAGATGCACTGCTCTGCCCACCTTGTCTTCCTTCTTCTGTGATCTCCAGTGGGCAAAATGTTATTGCACAGCTTTGGAAAGCAGCTGAATTCACTTTCATTCTTGTTAGGACATTTGGACTGGCTGTAATCTGCCCATGGTTGGATGAGAAGCACACCATGTACACATACTCCTAACATGACTTGAAGAGAAGCTCCTTCTGTTTCTCAGTATCCTGTGGGGAGAACACATTCCCTAGATGCCCAGGCTTGTTAGGGCCTACGAAAGGCTGCATCCCAACAACTCTGTCTTACTTCAACACCCACAATTTAAAAGAGGAAAGCTCACAGTTTGTAGATGCTTCAGTCCACAGCCAGCTGGCTCCAAGTCAGGGCAGCATGGCACAGGGGCATCACAAAGGAGGAACAGTTCATGGCAGAGCAGGCAGAAGGCAGCATAGAACAATGAGCCTGCTTTCCTTCTTTTCATATTCTATCTAGGTTACCCACCCTTTGGGTGGTGCCACCCACACCCAGGGTGGGCCTTCCATTCTCCACACCCAGAACCATGATAAACCAATCAGTAGACTAATTTAGCACCACACCCTTAATCCAGTACCACACACCCATGATCCAGCCACCTCCTGAAAGCCCCACCTATGAGTGCATGAGGCTTTGGGGAGATAACAACCTCTGAGCTTTCCAGAGCCCCACCTGTCTTTGGGGCTGCTCCCTGCTTATGGGAGGTCCTCATGCAGACACTTGCTCTGGAGTGTAGCCCCAGCCAGACCACGAGGCTGGCAGGTAAATCATCTCCCCTTCTGCCAGCTTTGAGGTCACCACTGCACCTCAGAGTCATCATCATGGCCTGCTTTTCAGGTGTATTAAACACTAAAGTGTCTCATATGCTAGCCAGGTAATTTCCACTAAATGTTTGGAAAAGTTTAGCTTATGTTATGGCCATTTAAAGGCTTGGAGAAAATTACTGTGTTAAATCCATAATACAGAAGGGAATATTCATTCAGAGAAAGTATGGCCATTTGTCATTTTTTATTACTAGCATTTTTATTATTGTGTTTTCAAATGCATAAAATTGATAAGGCATTAAACAAAGTATGAATAGTAGTGAATACAGATGGTCCCCAAGTTAAGAATGGTTCAATTTACCATCTTTCAACTTTACCATGGTTCAATAACTATATACATTTAGTCGAAACCATATTTCAAAGTTTGGATGTGGATCTTGTTTTTTTTTTTTTTTAAGAGTAGAAAGAATTTATTGGAAGAAAGATAGCTTCTAAGAGAGATTGAACAGGGTCTGGAACTTGGGTAGCCCCTTGGACTTGGATCTTTTCCTGAGTGGCAATATGTGATCTGATCTTCCCTCCTGAAGCTGGAAAGAAGCAATGAGCCACAAATCCCAGGCAGCCATGGGATCTCAAGGTGGAAGGGTGAGAGGATTGGGGGTGTGAATAACCGTTACTCTACAGTGCACGGTGTTGTTAAGCGAGGTGAAATGTAGTGCATGCATTTTTTCCTTAGGATTATTTCAACTTACAATGAGTTTATCAGTATATAACCTTATCTTAAATCAGGGCATCAGCAATTCTCTGTATACCATGTTACCTTTCCCAAAACTATACATTTAGCCTCATGCAGCTTGCAAGGTCCTCTAGAGCATCTTGGTCTTTAGCCAGTCTCTGCTTCTGTTTTCCAACATACTGCCTTGAGCAGACATCACACCTTCTCTGGATTCCTTGTTACTGGGCCTTTCATTAGAGTGCTCCCTAAAATGTCAAGGGCACCATAAGTTCTATCCACAGTTGTCCCTCTCTTATGTAGCTCACAAACCACTTACAAGGGGAGTGAACACTGACCCTAGCCCTCAGCTTCTTCTTTATGTTCTCTTTCCATTCCTCAGTCAAGTCATGGAAATATTCCCAAGGTCTAAATCTCTCTGTATAATCCCTCGGTCCCCTCCTCCCAGAGCCTGTGGATGGAAGGATGTTGATAGTTGCCTCTCCAAGGCTGCTGCCTCCTCTCTGATCACCTAATATTTAGCAGTGGCATACTAGGTATGTATGGCAAGCTGTGGCCAATGTGGAAGAATCAATCCAGTGTTAGCTTCCCAAGACTACTATAACAAAGTTATTCTAACACAGTTCTGGAGACCAGAAGGCCAAAATCAGTATCACTGGTTTAAGTCAAGATATCAGCAGACACCCTGCCCTCTGGAGGCTTTAGGGGGAAATTCATTCTTACAGCTTTCTGCTTCGGGTGGCTTCCAGCATTTTGTAACTTGAGGCTGCATCATTGCAATCATCAAGGCCAGTCTTTTCAAATCTCTCTGTGTCCCTTCATTTCACCTTCTCCTGTGTGCGTGAGTGTGTGTCCATGCTCATGCACAGCACGTGTGTGATTTCCCTCTACCTTCTTCTGATAAGGACACTTGAGATTGGATTTAGGGCAAGATCATCGAAGATAATCTCCCAATTTAAAAATCCTTTACTCCAGAGATCCTTTTCCCAAATAAGGTTTTATAGGTTTGAAGGATTCACATGTGCTATCTTTGGGATTCTTATTTGGCCTAGTATAGTTTCCAATTTGGGTCTAACCCACTAGGCCCACTTCTACCCCTAGAGCTGCAATGGGCCCTCCCAGATTACAAAGTCCTCTCTGCAGCCTCTTTTCCTTTCCCCTGAAAGGAAGTTGCCTGCAGATGATAATTGTTCAGTAAACTCACACAGTAAAACAAAGCCCTGACTTTCTGGTTGAAAAATTATTCTCAACTTTTACATGTCTCCTCAAGCAGGAAGCTGATAGCTCCTAGCTTCAGCTTTGGAGGAAAGGGGTAGATTGTTAAGTTGTTAGTTGCTTATAGTCCTGAATAGGAAATGCTTGGGTTTTTCACGTGTTTCCTAGTGGCACACTTGAAAGGCAAACAAGCTTTGCTTTTTTTTTTTTTTTTTTTTTTTTTTTTTTTC